ATGATGTTAGCTGTATGTTTTTTGTAGATGTCCTTTGTCAGGTTAAGGAGTTCTATTCCTAGTTTTCTGAGCATTTTTATCAGTAAGAGGCATTAAATTTTGTCAGATGATTTTTCTGTATCTATTGAGATGATTCACTGCTTTTCCTTTTTGGTCCATTAATATGGTGAAACAGAGCAATTTTCAAATTTTGAACCAGCCTTACATTCCTCAGATTAATGCCATTCTTTATATATTGCTGGGTTCAGTTTGCTAATTTTTTTGTTGAGGATTTTTACATCTGTGTTTATGAGGATATCGTCCTGTACTTTTCTTTTGTTATAATGTCCTTGTCTGGTTTTGGTTCGGGGTCATACTGGCTTCATAGAATGAGTTGGGGAGTGTTTCATCGTCTTCTATTTTCTAAAAAGGATTTGTAGAATTTGTATTATTTCTTCCTTAAATATTTGGTAAAATTCTCCAGTGAACTCATCTGGGCCTGGAGTTTTCTTTGTTGAAGAAGTTTGAACTTTGAATTCAAGTTTTTGAGTAGATGTAAGACTATTTAGGTTACCTCTTCCTTCTTGAATGAGTTTTGGTAATTTGTTTTTCAAGGAATTGGTCCATTTTAAATATGTTGTTTAATTTATGGTATAGAGTCATTTGAAGTATTCCATTTTAATGTTAATGCCTGCAGGGTCTGTAGTGGTAGCTCTTCCCATTCTAATATTGATCATTTATGTCTTTAGCCTTCTATTTTTAGTAAGTGTGGATAGAGCTTTATTAGTTTTATCCTTCTTTTCAAATAACCAGCTTCTGCATTCATTCTCTGTTGTTTTTCTGTTTTCGAGTTCCTTGATTTCTATTCCTGTTTTTATATTCTCTCACTTCTGCAAGGTTTGGTTTTAATTTGTTTTTTTCTATTCTAGTGTCTTAAGATGCAAGCTGAGATTATTGATTTGAGGACTTTCCTTTGTTCTAACACAAACATTTACTGAAATAAAGTTATCTTTAAGCATGGCTTTAACTGCACCCCACAGATTTTAATATTTACAATTTTGCTTTCATTCAGTAAGAAATGTTTTCTTTCCCTTTTTTAAAATAATTTATTTTCCAGAGAGAGAGCACGTGAGAGAGCACACAAGCAGGGGGAATGGCAGGCAGAGGGAGAAGCAAACTTCCTGCTGAGCAGAGAGCCTGATGTGGGACTCGATCCCAGGACTCTGGGATCATGACCTGAGCCGAGGGCAGCTGCTTAACCGACTGAGCCATCCAGGCGTCCCTAAGAAATGTTTTCTAATTTCCATTAAGACTTCCGTTTTGACCCACAGATTACCTAGAAGTGTGTTTAGTCTTATATCAGGGACTTTTTTTTAAGATTTTATTTATTTATATGACAGAGAGAGACACAGCGAGAGAGGAACATAAGCAGGGGGAGTGGGAGCGGGAGAGAGTGAAGCAGGCTTCCTGCTGAGCAGGGAGCCGGATGTGAGGCTTGATCCCAGAACCCTGTGATCATGACCCAAGCTTAAGGCAGATGCTTAACGACTGAGCCACCCAGGCGCCCCAATTGGGGACTTTCTAATACCTTTCTATATTTATAGAAATAGTTCAAAATATCTTTATTAATTTCTACTTTACCCCATTAGGAATGAGAGAACAGACAGTATGATTTCAGTTCTGTTAAACAATTTGTTAAGATTTGTTTTGTTTTGTTTGTTTTAGAACATTTATCTTGTGAATATTCCGTATTTCAGGAATATGCATTCTGCTACCTTATATTATTTGCAAATAAATACAGCTATATTATGGAGTAGAAAGAAAAGTCACTTGAATTCTTCAGATAAAAAGAGTTGTTTCTGGAGGTGCCTGGGTGGCTCAGTCCATTCAGTGTTTGACTCTTGGTTTTGGCTCAGGTTGTGATCTCAGGGTCATGAGATCGTGGAGTCCGCTTAAGACTCCGCCCCCCCATGCATGCGTTTGTGTGCATGTGCGGGCACTCTCTCTTTCTAAAATAAATTTTTAAAAAAGAAGAGTTCTTTTTGACATATGACAGTTGTCTCAGGCCATGCCTACAGACCTCAGGGAGTGTCTGTTCATTTTTGCGCTGTTTTTTTAAATTTAATTTTATTAAAATTCAATTAATGCAGTATATTATTAGTTTCAGAGGTAGAGTTCAGTGATTCATCAGTTGTATGTAACACCCAGTGTTCATTATATCACGTGCCCTCCTTAATGTCCATCACCCAATTATACCATCCCCCTACCAACCTCCCCTCCAGCAACCCTCAGTTTGTTTTTTGTGGTTAAGAGTCTCTTACGGTTTGTCTCCCATTCTGATTTCATCTTGTTTTATTTTTCCCTCCCTTCCTCTATGCTCTTCTGTTTTGTTTCTTAAATTCCACATATGAGTGAAATCATATGGTAAGTCATCTGATTGACTTGTTTCCTAATACCCTCTGGTTCCATCAACATCATTGCAAATGGCAAGATTTCAATTTTTGATGGTTGTGTAATATTTCATTGTATATATCTACCACATCTTTAGCCATTCATCTGTTGATGGACATCTGGGCTCTTTCCATAGTTTGGCTTTTGTGGACATTGCTGCTTTAAACATTGGGCTGCAGTTGCCCCTTCAGATCACTACATTTGTATCTTTGGGGTAAATACCTAGTAGTACAATTGCTGGGTCATAGGGTAGCTCTATTTTTAACTTTTTGAGGAACCTCCATACAGTTTTCCAGAGTGGCTATATCAGCTTGCATTCCCACCAGCAGTATAAGAGGTTTCCCCTTCTTTTGCATCCTCACCAACATTTGTTGTTTCCTGACTTGTGAATTTTAGCCATTCTGACTGGTGTGAAGTGGTATCTCATTGTGGTTTTGATTTGTATTTCCCTGATACTGAGTGATGTTGAGCATTTTTTCATGTGTTTGTTGGCCGTTTCTATGTCTTTGGAGAAATGTCTGTTTATGTCTTTTGTCCATTTCTTGATTGGATTATTTGTTCTTTGGGTGTTGAGTTTGGTAAGTTCTTTATAGATTTTGGATACTAACCCTTTATCTGATAAAACATTTGTAAATATCTTCTCCCATTCTATAGGTTCTCTTTTGGTTTTGTCGACTATTTCCTTTGCTGTGCAAAAGCTTTTTTACCTCAATGAAGTGCCAATAGTTCATTTTTGCCTTTATTTCCCTTGCCTTTGGAGACATGTCTAGCCAAAAGTTGCTGCGGCCATGGTAAAAGAGGTTGCTGCTTGTGTTCTCTTCTAGGATTTTGATGGATTACTGGCTCACATTTAGGTCTTTCATCCATTTTGAGTTTATTTTTGTATATGGTGTTAAGGAAGTGGTCCAGTTTCATTCTTCTACATGTGGCTGTCCAATTTTCCAAACACCATTCGTTGAAGAAACTGGTTTTTTTCCATTGGATATTTTTTCCTGCTATGTCGAAGAAGTCGATCATAGAGTTGAGGATCCATTTCTGGGTTCTCTATTCTGTTCCATTGAACTATGTGTCTGTTTTTGTGCCGGTACCATACTGTCTTGATGATTACAGCTTTGTAATAGAACTTGAAGTCTGGAATTGTGATGCCCCCAGCTTTGGTTTTCTTTTTCAACTTTCATTTGGCTATTCAGGGTCTTTTCTGGTTCCATACAAATTTTAGGATTATTTGTTCCAGCTCTGTGAAAAATGTTGATGGTATTTTGATAGGGATTGCATTGAATGTATATATTGCTCTGGGAAGCATAGACAGTTTAACAGTATTTGTTCTTCCAACCTGTGAGTATGGAACGTTTTTCCATTTCTTTCTTCCTCAATTTCTTTCATGAGTGTTCTGTAGTTTTCAGTCACTCTTGTACTGTTAAGTAAAAAAAGTAACAAGTACTTTCAGGCCTTAGGGAAGCATGGTTCTCAGATTGTCCAGAATCATGGCAGAGACCATTATTGTAGATTCTTGGGTACCACCCTCAGAAAATAACAGCTTGCATTTATTGGAGACTCTTTTCATCGATGATCTCATTTACTCTTGGCAAACACACCTTTAAGGAAGGCGCCATTTTGCAGATGAGGAACTTGTGCGAGGTTACTCAGCTCAGTATTCAAACCTGGTTTATCTCACGTAGGAACCCAAACTCTTAAACCACAACAGTGTGGCCCAAGGGGCTTGAGGAAGCTACATGTTAAGTTCTCCATGTTTTAACCTGACTTGTCAGTTGCTTTGAAACATAAATATAGCTCTCATCGTATTGACCACATTTTGGAGAATGACCCGAAAATGATTGACATAATTTTGTTTTCTCCTCTGTGTTCTAAAAAGAACAGAAATTTATTTCATTAGACTTTGATAATAAAAATGCAATTTACTGCAAAGGGAGACCTGTGGACCTTTGCGGTTTCCGTATCTAGTAAAGTCTCTTTTCTCCAGGATCATTACTGATCCTTTTTATTCTGTTTTCCAAATAGATATAGATGGTATCCTTTTCTTTTGTGTTGCTTATTGTTTCAAAACAGCAAGTTTTATGACATGATTTCTTCTCTTTTAACTTTTTACTGTGGAAAATTTTACATATCTACAAAATTGAAAGATGGAATAATGAACCTCCATGTACCTGTCACTCAGCTTCAACAATTACCAACTCAGACCAGTCTCAAGCCTCTGCTCTTTTTTTTTTTAAGCCTCTGCTCTTTGTATTCATATCATTTTATCTGTAAGTATTATGGAACATATCTCAAAAAATAAGGGCTTTAAGATAAAAGATTTCTGGACAGTGTAGTATATTGATTTTCCTGTGTTTTGTAGATGTCATCACTTACATAACCATTCTTCAGGGGTACTTGCATCTGGATTTATTTTGTAGAGCTTCACAACTTTTCCACCAGGGGGCACTTGAAGGCTGGAGGAATTTAGATCTTCAAGAGGAGGGATGAATACAGAGAGCCCATGAGCTTTTATCATAACCCAGAGTAAAGTATCTCTCCCTACTCCTCTTTGAAAATCTTTCTGGTGCATCTAGATGCAAGGCAAAAGATGTGGCAGGCCTGGAAGTCCTGGCTGATCTACGTGGTTTTTCGTAGAACCAAACTTCAGATGCAGACCACCGCCCTGGAGTTTAGGCAGCGGAGTATTTTGTGGTGAGTGTGCTCCTTTGTCCTACAGATCAGCAGCAATCGTCTTATCCCAGCCTTGTTTCAGGAAGCATTAAAAACCCACCTTAAAAACAGTGTTTCAAACATAATTGATGCTTAATAAATATTTATTGACAGCTTGTTCCACTATACAATCAGGTTTTCACACAATCAGAAGTAACACTAATTGAGTACTTACTATGTTCTAAACCCTGTGTTAAGTTTGTGTGTGTTAATTTTTTTAATGTAAAGTCTCATATAATCATCACCATAAACTAAACTAAGTACTGTTTTTGTAAAGATGAAGATACACAAAGAGTCTCAGAAAGGTTGAGTAACTTGCCCAAGCTCATATAAGTTGTAATTGGCAAAATAGGGCTCACCTACCCATCTTTCTGATGCCAAAGCCCATGCTCTTAACTGTTCTGCACAGCCTTTCGTCAGCACTGTCCACACTTTGGAGAGACATGAGTTAGATGACTTTGAAAGCCAAGCATGTGTAACAATGAGCTGCTTTATAATGGGACTGATCCCACTGTACACTATCTCTGGTGGTCCTTTGGTGTCCTGAATGGCAGCATATTAAAAGCTCAAAGAGCTAGACGCTCTATGTGGTATGGATAAGGGCAGAAGCTTTGCAGTTAGACTGACAAGCTCAAATCCATGTTCTGACATGCAGTGTTGGGTCCTTTCACTTCTCCACATTTTACTTTCCTCATGTGTGAGACAGGCACACCATTAAGTGTCTTTCAGGGTTGTCATGGGAAATAAATATGGTAATATCTAAAGTATTTAGCACGGTATCCAGAACATCAGTACACCTTAAAATTCTTTATTTTAAATAACTTCTTTAAGTTATTTTTATTTATTTGGCAAATTTTTTTTAAAGATTTTATTTATTTATTTGACAGAGAGAGACACAGCGAGAGAGGGAACACAAGCAGGGGGAGTGGGAGAGGGAGAAGCAGGCTCCCCGTGGAGCAGGGAGCCCAATGTGGGGCTCGATCCCAGGACCCCGGGATCATGACCTGAGCTGAGCCAAAGGCAGATGTTCAACCAGCTGAGCCACCCAGGCACCCCTATTTGGCAAATTTTTAAAAGATATTAGAGAGCACGCGCGAGCACGAGTTGGGGAGAGGGGCAGAGAGAGAGGAGAGGGAGGATCAGACTCCCTGCTGAATAGGGAGCCCGATATAGGGGGGCTCGGTCCCAGGATCCTGAGATCTTGACCTGAGCTGAAATCAAGAGTCAGACACTTAACCAACTGAGCCACCCCGGCATCCTGGCAAATATTTTTAAATGCTTAATAAGTATGCATTTCTATTAGAGTCTATAGGAGATATTTTTACATAATCTTATTTATTCAGTGTATATTTATTGGGAGCTTAAAATGTTCCTAGTACTACACTGGGTGCTGGGGCTGCATTCAGGGAACTTGTAATTCCCTAAATGCTTAAAAAGATAAGTAGTAATGCAGGATAGTTTGAGATATTGAAGTGAGTGATGCAGCTAAGCCTGGCCCAGATTAGGAGGACAGAAAGATTTTGCTAGGTTAGAGTAACCAGGCAAAGTGAGTGTTTCTGTGAAAAAAAGAGGTTACAAACTCTCATTTCCTCACTACTATTTTCCTGCAGCTGATTAGAAAATAAGCAGAAAAGAAGCCAAACCTGGAAATCTAAAAGTCATATTTTTGCAGATTATTCTGTAAAATCTCCTGTTTTTTTTTTTAATGTTGGCAATAATTCATAAATACATTTTTTTAAACCTGTGTAGTTCCAAATAGAGCATGTCTATAGTTTCTAAGGCTGGAACCTTAGGAACCATCAGTTTCCAACCCGTAATTGGCTATTCTAGAACTATTTCTCGATTGTTTTTTTCAGCAGTGGCTCCAACCGATGTCAATTAAGATGGCTGGCACAATGAGGGATAGGGACTTGAGCCGAGGGTCCAAGGCCCAGCCCTCACTGCCCTTCTCTTTTCCGGGTGGCTTTTTTTTGATTGGTTCCATCTTTGATTTGTTCTTTGGCAGGCTGTGGTGGAGCCAGTGGAGGCAGCAACTGGGACAGGTGCGTGTGGGCCATGCCCTGCTTGCATCAGCTGTGAAGCACAGGGCCCTGAGCCTCCAGCTGCAGGTGGGTGCAACCGACTGTGGTTTTGATATCTCCTGTCCATGTCAAGCCCCATACCCACAGAAGGTGGGGTTGGACTCCCAAGTAGAAGGCTGGCCATCATGCTGCTGCCTCTGTCCTGGGCCCTCCCTGCAGCAAAGGGGGCTGGGCAGGCGGTGGAGGGCAGAAGCAACATGAAAGGCTGGGCTCAGCGGATAGAAGCTGCTATTAGGAATATGCTGAATGTGATTACCAATGGTTTGCACAGCGTTTCTGCTAATTGTGGTGCTGGGAAGGGATTTATAAATTGGTTATAAATATGATTAAAGAAACAGCATTATATTCTTTATTTCCTTGTTACTGTTTTCCTACATCAAGTTGGAAAATGACAAAAGAAACTAAGACTGTAAAGAAAACCTGGCTTCTATATATAATTTTGCCTATATTAGAGGAAGCCACTAGCTTTTGGTCAGTAATAAAGGCCTAACATCTGTACCAAGACGATGCTGTGGTGAAGCTTTCTTATGACCCTTGATATACTTTGAGTTTCTGTCACTTTTTGGGTCTGCTTGGTATTCTGGGTTTGCTAAGTCAGTTATAGAGAATATAACAGGGAATAGGAAAAAAAGAAGTGACTGCTACTATACATAGGAGTAAATCGCTTTTTAACCTGACAACATGTTGCAGAAGCTATGCAAATATATGCAGTATGTGGAAATCACATGCAATTAGCAGATACAATCATCTAGATTAGGGGTCTGCAAACTGGCCTGCAGGTCATATTTGGCCTGCTGTCTGTTGTTATAAGTAAAATTTTATTGGGATGCAGTTATACCTGTTCATTTATGTATTGTCCAAGGCAGCTTTCAGGGCTTCAAGGGCAGAGTTGAGTAGTTCTGGCAGAGAGACCGTGTGGTGTGCAAAGCCTAAAATAGTTATTATCTGACTTTTAAGAAAACAAGTTGCTGACCTCTGAACTCATGAGGTCTTCAGAGGCAATAGCAAGGAAATGAGATATTTCTTGACAGTGATAATAATAGTAACAAGAACAGCAGCAACGGCAAATAACAATTGTGGTGGTCTAACTTATATTAGGTGCTGGACTAAGTGCTTTACGTGTGTTATCTCAATTAGTTTTTGTTTTTGGTTTTTTTTTTTTTTTTTTTTTTTTTTTTAGTCCTCTCTACAACCAATGTGGGGCTCAAACTCATGACCTTGAGATCAAGGATTGCATGCTCTTCTGACTAGGCCAGCCAGGCACCCCTCAATTCTTTTTTAAAAAACCATATTATTATTATGGAAACTAAGGTTAAATAACTTGAATCAGTTAGAGTTAAATAACTTGAATCAGTTAGTCAGACACCTAGCAAAGGTCAGAACTAGGGTTTAAACCCAAGCAGCCTAACAACTGCAGAACCATTCTTTTACCCGTCCTGCTCCACTGTCCTTATTAGACGTGTAATCTCAGGAAGGAGAGGAAACTGACAAATGTGAAGATGCCATCGACATAGAAACATAATGAGACTGTTGCTCTATTCCTGGGGGACTACAGCTGTGTGAGTGTTCTTTCTTTCAAAGAGCTGCTTTGAGGGCTTGTAAGCTCATTCTGCTGGTGCTGTGATTGCTCAGAACACTTTCAGAATTCCCTTTACACTGTTGTCTTCAAAGCTCGCAACAGAGTTGACTGAATATTTTTAGTGATAGGTTTTCGTGCTTAGCGGTTGGAATTAACAAAACAGCCAGGAGTCACTCAGAATCAAATCCAGTGAAACATGTGAGTTATCAAAATCATATTGATTTGGACCAAAAGCTGTGGAAGACTCCTAAGACCAGATTTTATTGTGTGGATTATGAACAATAATGCCTTGTGTCTGATAAGTACCATATGGTTTACCAAGAACTTCCACTTAAGGCATTTCTTTTAACCCTCAAAACATCTCTGAACTAGATCGGGCAGACATCATGAGATATGGGAAATTTTTATAAATATATGTACTTGAAACATAGAAACACTAAATATAAAACATTTATAAAAACATGAACAGATACCCAAGTACCCACCACCCAGATTTAAAAGGTATTGGCATGCTCCACACCTGCCCAGACACAGCTCAAGCCCTACCTTTCCTCCCTTCTGCCACCGTTCCTCCTCAGAGGTGGGTCCTGCATGGATACAAGGTCGCCATTCTCTCATCATCTATTTACCTGTAGAAATGTGCGTATACATACCCACAAAAAAGAAATGTTCTGGTTTTGTGTAGTTAGGAAATTTATGAATGATGTCATACTGTACATTTCCTCTGTAGCTTCCTTTTTTTAATGCAACAGTATTTTTTGAGGCTTATCCTTGTAGGTACGTAGAGATCTATTATCTGTGTACACTGTGCCATTTTATGAATAGGCACAGTTGATCTGTTTCAGTAGTAGTCAGTACTAATACTAATGATGGACTATTACTTCTACATTTTTGCAGTTACAAATGGTGCTGCAGAGAACATTTTTAAAACATAGATCCTTGTGCAAGAGTCTGAGAGATTCTCCAGTCTGGTTCCTAGAAGTGACATTGTTGGGTCATCAGGTATTCATCTCTCCATCCTTATTAAGGATTGTCCAGGGCTTTCCAGTGCCAGTTTATATGCTGACGTTTCAGTTCCCATTTCTTTCAGCCTCCTCAGCCCTTTGCGTTGCCAGACTTGGTCCTCCTCAGCAATTGGATGTGTGTGGAGTGGTTAACTTCATTGTCGCCTTAACTTGTATCTCACTGATTCTTAGTGAGGCCCGGCATCTTTTCAAATGCTTGTTTGTCTTTGGGTTTCTGCTTTTGAGCTGGTTCACATCCCTCACTGTTTTTTCTGTTGGGTTATTTGGCTTTTTCTTTTCTCATACTGATTTGTGGACATTGTTGTAGGTTCTGCTTACTCATCTTTTGAGTGTTATGTACTTTACACCTACTTTCTTCCAGTTTATAGCTTGTCTTTTTGCTTTACTTATGGTCCCTTTTTTTTTTATGCAGATGTTATTAATTTCAACCTAGCCTAATTTATTCTTGTGGCTTACACTTTGGTCTTTAATACATCTTGGGTTTAATTTTACAAATTGCGTGAAAAACGTCTCAGTTTGTCATCTTCCATATGGATAATTAATTGCTGTAGCACTATTTGCTGATTCATCCATCCTTTATCTTTTTTTATACTGATTATCAATCTACCTTCATTATAGAGCAGGGTCTCATTTTTTCACAGGTCTGTTCTGGGCTCTCCGTTCCATTGGTCTGTATTTCTGTCTCTGAGCCAATACCACACTGTTTTAATTGTGATTTAATGAAGCAGGTAAGAACGAGCCGATTCTTCCATCAGACTGCGCAGGTTTTTGCTTCCATTGCTGTTAGCTTTGTACTTTTGAATGAGTTACTTACCCTCCCTACATCTTAGATTTCATATCTGTAAGTAGATAATAACAGTACCTTCCTCATAGGATTGTTGAGGATTAAGTAATATGCTTAGAGCAATATTAATGTAATATGTAATGTAATATGCTTAGAGCAATGCCTAGAATATGGAAAGCTCAGTAAATGCTAGCTGTTTATTACTATTCCTACTTTTATGATCTATCTCTTAAGTCTTTTGTTTTATTTAAGCCATCTCCACACCCTACATGGGGCTCAAACTCACAACCCCAAGATCAAGAGTCCCATCCATGCTCCTCTGACTGAGCCAGCTAGGCTCCCTTATCTCTTTAAGTCTTTATATATGGAAGAGGATGATCTTTTTTATTCCTGTTCTTTTTAAAATCATCTTGGCTATTCTTCTTTACTCTTTCTTACTAATTTTAGGATCAACTCTCAAGTTCCACGTCAAAGCCTACTAGGACTTTTATTATAATGCACTGACTTTTTACATTAGATTGAGGAAAATTGTCATGGTTATGATAATGTGAGTCATCCCATCCATGAATTTGATATATCTTGTGATATGTTGATGAGCATGAGAGAGAGAGAGAGAGTAGGAAGGATTAGGTCATGAGGTAACAAGGAGGACACCCCAGGACCTTGCAGGCTGCACCCATAAAGGCTTTACGTTCTTATTCCAGTGGAGGCAAGAAGCTGCTGGCTTTGAGTGAGGGTGATATGATCACACCTACTTCTTAATGGGATCCCTCTGGTTCATTGTGTTCTGCCTTTCGGGAGGAAAGGGGGTGTGTGTATGTGTGTGTGCGTGTGTGTGTGTCTTTTATTTTCAAGAAAAAGTAATGGAAAAAATAAATCCAAAACTAACAAAAAATGGTTACCCATACTGGGATAGAGGCAACAGTGTGGGAACAAAATACTTTAGTGAATTTACTTTGTTATACAATTTAAACTTTGGAACCATAGAAATATTTTATATAGTTTAAAAAAAACACAAGTAAATCAAAAAGGAAGAAAGTGATCCCCAGAATTTTAAGACACACTGAAACAAACTTAAGTTTGTAGCCATGACTACACAGAAAATATTTACTTCAAGTAACTTTAAAATACAATATTTGACTGTTCATCCCTAATGGAATGCATTCTAAGGACACAGAGAACTGCTAGGAAATCAGAAACCTGCATTCATTAGCCTTATGGTGAGTGGCAGGGTTGGAATTGTCATGTTGAAACTATTGTAGCTACATTGTGAGATAAAGCAAGTAACCACGCAGTGTCATTAGGAATCATGATTTTCAGTGTCAAGGAAAAGATTACAAATATAAAAGAAATGAGATAAAAGCCGTATAATCTGAGATTGGAACTGTAAATATCACTAGAGACTTAGGACATTTTTTAACCTTAAATGTATTTCTCATTTCATTTATGGAAAAGTTAGAAGCAGTGAGCAGCAAGAATATATGGCATTTAGTATTCCCAGTGCCCAAGTTGTGGGCTCTGTTATTTCCTGACTAAAAGGAAGAGGGGCTTTTTGGAGATATGGCTGGTCTACAGCAGGATATGCACATCATGCACATCATAGGCCTAGGATACAGTGTGCTGGAAAGTGAGGACATTAACAAAGGTTAATGGGCTTGTGTCGGAAGGACTCAGGAGCCAGAGGACTTTCATAGACTAACAGTAGAACAATTGGGACATCCAGAAGAGTAATGACTGCAGTGAATTGAAAACACATCAAATATATAAAAATTCATGCGTGTATAATGAGGGGAGGGGAAGGAACTCACTGGTCACATATTTGGGTTGTTAGAGCATTAACTCAGTTTAAAAATTAGTGAAAGCAAAAATCAAGCGTTTATCCTGCCTTGCCTATATAAACTATATCTTTGCAAAACCTGAGGGTTAATGAGAGTAGGCTTCTTTATAGAATTCTAGTTAGTAGCTACAGAAGGATTACTAGAATGAGAAAATTGCTCTTTGGCCACCCCTAACGAGAAAATGGATCTAAGCAGCAACCACAGAGTGGGAAGACAGTGGGGAAATAAAATGGAGGGATCAGGCTACCATCATCTGAAGCCATGGACAGCCTTGACATTGTTAAAATGGTGGCAGCCAGCTGTGATGTGCCTCATGATGTGAGGTTGGGAGGTCCGCAGCACCACTTGAGAAGTGTTCTTGCCTAAAAATTTGAACATGATTCTAACCAAGCCTAACATGAATCTGTCAGTTCCCAGGAAATACAGGGATCAGGGGAACAAGTCAAAGACACCTTGAGGAAACAATCGGCCGGACCTAAAGTGTGGGACATTTTATAGGATAAATGACCTAGTTTCTCAAAGAAATTAGTGGCATGAAAGAGGAAAAAAGGCAGGAAGGAAAAATGTCCTATAAAAAGGATGGAATTGTGACATAACCAAAACAAACCAAAAAGGATCGCTCTGGCTTTGTAGCAAACCATGTGAGAGTTCATCCATCCGGTGTGCAGCAAGCCAATAAAAACTAACACAGGCTTTTGCAGTGAAGAAAGATAGACTATTTGCTGGTGTGGCGCCTCCCAGGAGAACGGGGCTAATGCTCAAAAGTCCTGGACTCCCTTTTGGCTTACAAGCGGGTGGTTTTAAAGGGTGAAATTCAGGGGAAGGGTTTCAGGGTCTTGTATCATGCTGATTGATGAGGGCTAGGTCAGCTGTAACGTTTCCCTTCTTGATCATCTTCTCCCTTCTGGCATCTCCCTATCTGGTTTCAGGGTGATTGTAGTGAGGTGGTCGTTCTGCTTCAGGGACCCAGTCGTTCCACTTTAGGGGCCTAGAACTGTAAAACATTCTTAGCAGACAAGTCATGATCCTGGAGTTCCGGAATCAAGTCCCACATCGGGCTCCCTGCTCAGCAGGGAGTCTGCTTCTCCCTCTGACCCTCTTTCCTCTTGTGCTCTATATCTCTCATTCTCTCTCTCTCAAATAAATAAAATCGTAAAAAAAAAAAAAAAAACGTTCTTAGCAGATGGCGTTAGCAGTGTCTTCTCTAGAGTACAAAGGCAAAAGTTCTACATCTCGTGATTATCACTAAGCTGCAAGTTATTTTTTTTCATGCCAATACAGCACATTATGTTTGTTATCTCAGGCAGAACAGCATCCCACAGACTTTTTGAAAGGCAAGTTTGTATTATTCCCAGAGGCATTTTTACAGGTTTTTTAAACAGTAAGTAAGGGCTATGTGACTCTGGTCAGAGGCAGTTAGGAGCCATAGGTCTAAATTGTAGGGTCTCGGGGTGGGGGGCTTGATTTCAGATGTGTTAGGAATAGACCATAGAAGATCAAGGATGAAAGCAGGGAGAACAGGCAAGAAGCTATTACAAAATCCCAGGTGAGGGGCGCCTGGGTGGCTCAGTCGTTAAGCGTCTGCCTTCGGCTCAGGTCATAATCCCAGGGTCCTGGGATCGAGCCCCGCATCGGGCTCCCTGCTCAGCGGGGAACCTGCTTCTCCCTCTCCCACTCCCCCTGCCTGTGTTTCCTCTCTCGCTGTCTCTCTCTCTTTCTCTGTCAAATAAATAAAATTAAAAAGCAAAACAAAAAAACCCCACAAAAATCCCAGGTGAGATTCTAGACAAGGATGATAGCAAGATGGTGTTGGATTCTGGGTATACATGGAAGGTAGTGCTGACACGACTTGCTAATAGATAGTTAAGACCTGAAGTTTCAGGGAAAGAATCCAAGGTGACTCCAGATTTCTGGCCTGAGTAACTGGAACAGTGGAATGGCCATTTAGTAAAATGGGGAAGATAGAGGGAGAAGCAGGTTTGTCTGGAAAGATTAGCTCCATTTTGAGTGCCACATTTCAGCCTGAAAGGCCTTTTGAATATCCCCCAAGGAACTGTGAAGGAAGTATGGGGAGTATGGAGGATGGGTCGAAACCTGAGATGTAAATTTGGTAGTCCTTGGCTTGCAGTTGGTACTTCAAGTCCATGAGGTTGTGTGAAAGCACAAAGGGAGTGAGTATAGCTCTCAGAGGGGTCCCGGGACCCAGCCTGGGAGGAATAAAGGCAAGGTTGCCTGCCGGTAGCCCAGAGAATCCACAGGCCTGACTGGCCACATCAGATGCTTCTGGCAGTCAGGGATGGTGAGGAGTGGGATTTGACCTTGGGATTGAGCAATGTGGAGAGCACTGAGGCACTTGGAAGAGCAGTTCCCGTAGGCCTGATGGGGAGAGGGTTCATGAGAGCCTGCCTGGGGAAGAGAAATTAGAAAATAGACTGCTCTTTTGAGGAGTTTGGAGAGGAAAGGAAAGAACTCAAATGTTAGCTGGATGGCAAAGTGATCTAGTGGTAGCTTGCTCAAGAATCTGATTTATTCCTTTCACAAAGTATTTCTGTGACCATAACCTTTCCCCCCCAACTTTTTATTTTTGACAAATGCTAAATGACAAAAGGTAGATATTCACTGGTTTAACCTATTGCTAACATCTTGCTACATTTGCTTTCTTTAAGTATATCAATGTATTTCTTACATTTTCTGAGTGGCTTTAAAGTTGCCGACATAAGGGGCGCCTGGGTGGCTCAGTTGGTTGAGCGACTGCCTTCGGCTCAGGTCATGATCCTGGAGTCCCGGGATTGAGCCCCACATCGGGCTCCCTGCTCAGCAGGGAGTCTGCTTCTCCCTCTGCCCCTCCCCCTTCTCATGTGCGCTCTCTCTCTCTCTCATTCTCTCTCTCAAATAAATAAATAAAATCTTTAAAAAAAATAAAGTTGCCGACATAAAAGTTTACCCTAAATACTTCAGCTTATATCTCCTAAAAATAAGGATGTCCTCCTACATAATCACAATATCATTTTATCTAAGACATTCAATATTGATATGATAATATCTACAATATGGTTCATATTCAAACCATAGATTATTGCTATTTTAGAGGCAGGTCCAGGATCCAATCAGAGGTTGTATCCCTGAAGGGATTTGCTTTTGAGGATGGGAGAAATAGTAGCACATTCATATGCTGCTTTAGAAAACCTAGTAGAGGGTGAAAACCGATGATGCAGAAGGGGGGAGTTGCCAGTGATAAACTTGAGAAGGTGAGAGACCATGGGATGTAGCCATAGTGGGGGTGACTTTTGATTGAAGGGAGCGTGGACACTATTCAGAGGAGGCCAAGAAAAGTCAGAGCCTGTGGGCAGGTGGGTGGGTGGATGTGGAAGGAGCTTGAGAAAATTCTCTTTTGATTGCTTTTATTTTCTTGGTGAAATGGAAGAATGGTATTCAGCTGAGAGGAAGGAAAGGAGAAGAGGTATTATAGGTTTAAGGAAAGAAGGTATGAATTCATCATCTGAGATATGCAAACTAGGGATGCACATTGCCAAGCACACATGAAGACTTTGCTGCGGGTACACATTTATCGTCTTGAGGGAATCCTTCCGTAGACCCTCAGCTTCTGTAGCTAACTCTTCCTGGAAGCTAATGTGCCTGAGATCATAGGCTTCCTCCCACTTGGAAGAAAAAGGCAGACCCTCCTCACTTGTCCCAGATCTGATTTAGGTATATCACCCCATTGATTTTATTATTCCTCTTTTCCCTTGTTGTTCTTAACCCAGGAAAAAAGTTACTTTCTGGAAGTAGAATGCCCTTCTTAAAGAGCCCTTCACTGCAAATTTCCATAGATTATGATCCTCCTTGGGGGTTGCCACGTCCTTGTTTCTAGTTTTAGCTTTCCCAGTGTGTCTGTTTCTCTTTTCCCTCACGTGTACCTCACCTCTGTTTTTCTGCCTCTCCTCTGATTGTTGCCTTTTCTCTGGTTTTCAGACCTGGTCACGGTGGTGGGAACAGCTGCTACACGTCCAGAGGGAGAGACAGAAGATGGTCTCCGCAGTGAAACACCGTGAGCACTGGGAAAAGTGGAAATCCCTGAAGGCCTGGCTCAAATACCTGAGGGTCCGCAGAGTGAAGAGACAATGGAATGGTGAGCAGAAGATCCCGGGCTCTGGAGACAGAGGGGCACGTCACAATTTCCATTCTTCTGCCAGTGGTGCTAATTTATTAAGGAGAGATAGAACCATATTATGCCCCAAATTTTGGAAAAAAAGAGATTGAGGAGAAACATAAATCATCCTCAATTCACATTTATTTCCTTCTGGCCTTTTCTTCCACACATTTTTTTTTAAGAGTTTATTTATTTGTTTATTTATTTGAGGGAGAGAGAGAGCATGTGGGAGCAGGAGCCAGAGGAGAGGCAGGAGGGGGAGAAGCAGACTCCCCTCTGAGACTCCTGGACGCGGGGCTCAATCCCAGGACCCTGAGATCATGACCTGAGCCGAAGGCAGACACTTAATCAACTGAGGCACCCAGGCGCCCCCCCCCCCTTTTTTTAAGATTTTATTTATTACATATATTTTTAATAGGGTTTAATTATCCTATAAATACTATTATTATGATTAATATGATATGTACAACTTGGTATCCTGCTTTTTTTCCCCACAACTAACAACGTTTTCCTATATCTTTAGTCTTCATAAATGTTATTTTTTTTTTAATGATTGTCTGCATTTTGCAGGATGGTCTACCTTAATATACTATCTAGCCATTCTTCTATCGATAGATATTTGGATTGTTTCTGTTTCTCCCCAGTGATGTAATCCATGTGATTTATAATGTTGATTTTTTTTTTTTAAGATTTTATTTATTTATTTGTCAGAGCACAAGCAGGGGGAGCAGCAGGCAGAGGGAGAAGCAGGCTCCCTGCTGAGCAAGGAGCCCAGTGTGGGACTCGATCCCAGACCTGGGCAATCCTAGATCTTGGATCATGACCTGAGCGGAAGGCAGACATTTAACCAACTGGGCCACGCAGGAGTCCCTGATTTTTTTTTTTTTTAACTTTAAACAAAGTTTTATTACACAAAGGTTGTCACATAATTCGATATTTCTCTACTTTGTACACAGTTATTCTTACTCTCCACAGAAAGGCTGCTTCTTAACTTTTTATCTGGTGATGGCAAACACTAAAATCCTGATTTTAACAGAATAGTAATAAAAATGCCTCAGTGATTTAAGTTGAAAGCAATACATTGGTACATGGCTCTTGCACTCAGTTATCAGGAATATACAAATGTCTTTTTATTCAAAAATACAAAATAAATTATCTGTAGGCATGGACAATGACAGCAGTAAACCATTATATTTTTTAACACTATTCTTATGGTTTAGTTTCCCAGTTAGCGTTCACAAGTAATAATACGTAGGTCACGATCATTGGTACTTTTCTGTATTTTGGTTTCTTGAGCCCACACATAAGTGAGTCAAGCAGTGTGCTAGATGCTGGCTGGCTTTCACCTCAGGCTCTCTGCAGAAACCTCCTGGGTTGCCAGGCCAGCGCTGTCTCTTGGGAGAGTTTGAGTTTGAGTTTGTGTCTGTCTGAGGATAATGTGGAGACCCACTGTCTGGTTCCCCAAGCCTGGAGCTAAAGACATTAAGCTCTTTAGCATGATAAGCTGCAGACTAATGTGCGTCTCGTTTCAGCATTTGAAGTCTAGGACCAATTCCCTCCCACTTCTTGGACTTAAGTTAGTTCATCAGGCCATTGGCTAGTTAGTGTTAAAAGAAGGGTCAGCCTGGCTTAAAGCTCAGAAACACTTTTGCCAGCATGGTGACCACATTGTGTCGACTCAGTCCCTCACACCCTACCCGAGAGACATTAGCATTAAGAGGCAAAAGTAAGAGTCTTCTTTGAAAACAGCAGCTGCCATTTCTGCTCCTCAGGAGTTAACTAGAAACCTCAACTTTTTGATATAACTGATTTTATAGCATCCTCCTCCCTAATATCACAGACCTATTCTCTTTCCTTGGAGAGAAGAGGTGTAGCTAAGGGCTTCCAAATAACCCTCCCATGCCTAAAAAAAACTTTTATTTTAGCATGCTTTGTAAGAACAGCCTCAAATCCCTGCTGAGTGTCAGTAGTAGGGTGCAGCTTATCTTAAAGATAAGATCTAGCTCATCTCTCAGCCTTGCAGGGGGCAGCACATAGTGATTTTCTTTGTTGCAGAGATGGCTGAGCGATTCCACCGGGTCACTATGCTCCAGACACACTTCTCTGATTGGCAGTGGGCCTGGGAGCGGAAGGAGAGCTTGTACGCCCAGCATGCCCGGGTGGAGGGGCTGGCCCGGAGGATGGCTCTGCGGAGGGCCTTCACTCACTGGAAACACTGTATCCTTTTCAGCCACCCAGCCTTGTCCACCACCACAGCCGGCCCACTTTAGATGTCTGATATTTAAGGTGTCACACACAAACACACACACACACACACACACACAAAATACGTGTATTTGTATATTTCATTTAATAACCCTGTCTCTCTTTGAAATTCTCCCAATTGTATATACATTTGTCTTCTTGCTAATCACCAGTTTTTAGGAGTGCAGGAGTGCAGCAGCCTCTAAAACAAAGGGCCGGGAATATGTGGGAAATGATTACTGGACAATATGAGGTAGTCATGATGTCTGTTGATTTCTTTTTAAAATTTTCTGTTTAACTGGAAGTGTGCTGACACAACAGTATGTATAACATACATTTACAGTTTAATGAATAGTAATAAAACCAACACCTTTGTACCCACCACCCAAATTAAAAATTCAAACACTGCTAATAGCCTGTCTGCTCATCCATGATTGCATTCCCTTTCCTCCCCTTCAGAGATAATCCCACTATCTTGAATTTTATGTTGTCATTTCATTGCTTTTCTCTACCCACTAGGTGGTGGAAATAGGTGTGGTGGTCTTTTTCTTGGCAGCCCTAACATTATGATCCTAGCTTCCATTGTCTTTTACCATGTGCAGACATTAAGCATTACCTCTTTAATCTTCATAGCAACCCCGTGGAGTAGATGTCACTATCCCCGTTTTACAGGTGAGGAAACAGAGACTCAGGGGGGCTAAATAGTCATCAGCATGTCATTGGCCGAGCTGGGAGTTTGAAACCTAGGCCTTTGGCTCTGGTGTGCATGTTCTTGATCACTGCCCCTGCTGCAGTACGTGCCCAGCTGTGCAGATTCGAACTGGAGATGTCCATCCGCACGTTCATTTGTTCATCAGACTCTCGCTTTGTTTTAAGCTCCTGCCTAAGTTCTGGAATATGAGGAAACTCAAAGACAAACAGTAGTTCATTGTCTAGCGGGGTAAAGAGACATGAAAGCGGGGCTGCACAGTGTGGTGTGGTAAGTGCTGTCAGAAAGGTGTGCATCCTGCGAGCGCTATTGTGCAGATTCAAGCTGACTTTGTCCTAGAGGATGACAAGGTCACCTAGCAGAGAAGCCGGGAAGGGTGTTTCAGGTGGAAGGAATGGCATTTACACAGGCAGAGGTGAGGAAAAGACCCACGGACGGCGACAGGGCCTATCGTGAGTTGAGGGGGCGTAGATGGCAGTAGGGCAGCGCGGGGAGAGGCATGCTGGGACCAGCGCGTAGGTCCCTGCGTGCAGTGCTCGGGAGCTTGGGCTTTCTCCTGATGGCACCGGGGATCCTCTGGAGGTGTGTAAGAAGATGAGCGATGCAGCAGGTTTGTACTTGAGAGGACAGATTTGGATTACAGGGGCAAAGCCGGCTCAGGGGGAGCAGATATGCGAGAGACTCTTGCCAGTCTGTGTGAGGGCCAAGTCGGATGCTCTGTGGGGCTTTGGGGGCGGGGACAGAAGAGCAGGAGAGATTTCCGAGGAGAGCAGATGGACTTGGCAGCCCAGTAGATGGAGGGAGTGGGAGGAGAAGGTTTGAAAATAACTCCAAGGTTTTTAGCTGAAACATCTGACTGGGTTGTGGTGCCAAAACAGAGGAGGCAGGAAGACAGGAATGCTTTAGATGGGGTGATTTGGAAATGTTTACTGTAATCTCTGGCAATTTATCTCAGCTATTTTGCCTGTCATCAAATGGGCATCAGAAGGGAGGAGGACAAGGCCAACTGTTTGATAAGCCACTCACATGGTTTCCCTTTGCGTCCCCTCCCTGGGTCATCAGGAGGAGATGGAGGTGGACGTCAGCCCACCTGGCACACCTGGTATCCCCCACAGCCAAGACTCTTCCGGTGGGTCCCTGGGACCGCAGTGTGTGAGGGTGGGGACAGTTTTGAGATGAGAGACCTTAACTCCCTGGCAGATGTGCTGCTGTATGCCGAAGAAGTGGCCCAGTGGAAGGTGGCAGAAGAACACAGGAGGCGCAGCTTGCTGGTAAGAGCATGGAAGCCTCTTGAGGCTCTTTTTTTTTTTTTTTTTTTTAATCTTTGCAGGAACCACCAAAGTTTTAGTGTTTAATATTTAAACACAACTGGCCAAAGTCCAAGATGTGAAGTTACCATGTTCGAGAACCTGGAGGGAAAAATCACTCTATAAGCTATATAGTATGTGGTAAGGAGAACGCACGCCTTATAACAGAAAGCCTGTCTACACAGAGTAGGTGCTTCAGAAATACTTAGCAGCCTTGCTCAGACATCTACGTTTGGAGGACCCAGACACACAGCATGCTGTTCAGGTGTATCTGGTTATGGGATTAGCTTCACTCATGGAGCTCTGTTCCATTGCAAGTGTCCCTGTTTTCATTTTGGATCAGAAAGGGTAATGATGTGGGATCAGAGGGGTCTGGAGCTATAAGGGAATCTTGGAGGTGATCTAGTCCTGCATTTTTTTTTTTTTTTTTTTTACATGGCAGGCCTCCTTTTTATTTTTTTGAAGATTTTATTCTTAATTGATCTTTACACCCAACATGGGGCTCGAACTCATAACTCCCAGATCAAGAGTCACATGCTCTACTGACTGAGCCAGCCAGGTGCCCCTTCATTTTATGTTTTTTTTTTTTTAAGTAACCTCTACCCCCAACATGGAGCTTGAACTCATGACCCCAAGGGCGGACTCCCTTTTTAATGTTGGGAGCCTAATCTGTAAAATCGATCAAAGTAGAGATGCTGTGGATGAAGCAAGGTCTGGGAGCAGTCCCTGTTCTACCACTGCTTTCCTGCACCCTCACCACATGAGGAGGTCTTCCAACACTTTCAGGTGCCTCTTCGGTTCCACAGAGCACAATATGAAAACCCCTAATCACTTCACTTCTGTCTCAGAAAACTGGAACCCAGGGCTTTGCTTAGGTCACATGTGAGGCAGTGTTGATGGAGCTGGAGCCAGTCCCACATGTCTTGCCACTACCCCAACCCCCCTACTCACCAAGGCTTCCTTCTCTTCCTTCTATTCTGCTCTTGCAAAACTGCATTTGGGGGTGCGTTTTGAACCCCCCACCCCCAACATGGCTTTAAAAAGAGAAACTACCATAAGCTAAAAGTCTCTTTTTCTGAGAGGTAAAGTTGATGTTTTTAACCTTTGTCCGTCGTGTTCCCATCTCGGCCGTTGGGATCTGTCCTGGTCAGAGGCGACATGGTGTGTTTGCTCCTGGGCAGTGTCAGTGGATGGTGGGGAGCAGTTCGACAGCTACTTATGAAGTGCCTACTGTGCGGGCTGGCTTGTAGCAGACTCCAGCTGAATCTCAAAGCAGAGAAATGCTCCGGGACCCCGGAGCAGCTGTGAACATCCGCGCCTGGGCCTCTCACTACTCGACTCGGGCGCTGCTCTTACTCGTACAGACGCTGCTGATTTGTAACTGGTTGTGTCCTTCCTTCTATTCACAGCACTTCTGTTTTCGAGCCCTAAAAGACAATGTGACCCATGCCCATTTCCAGCAAATAAGAAGGAATCTCGCTCACCAGCAGTATGACATCACGGTAAGGGTCATCTGTATAGAGGGACCTCTGACGTCCATTGTCTTTTAGCCTTTGTGCTTTGAGATTTGTCCAGACCTTTTAGACCCCAAAACCTTAGTGTCCATTTTCTCTAGTTAGCCCTACCAGCTGAGGGAGTAAGCCTTGGTTTTCCCTAGTTTAATCCCGTTTTTTATCTCTGCTAAGAAACTTGATAGTTGACTCAGAGGTCAGGGACTATGGATGGATTCTAACCCTAACCTAGGGAGTACACTCTGAGTCTTGCATTCCAGGCGGCTTTGGTTGTATTTGCACTGTAAGTTTGTTGTCTTCACTGGTTGGTTTACCTGAGGGCAACAAAGGTTCTATCTCTACTTACAGATCATGTTTCTGGGTATAGGAGGATGGGGGTTTTTTTTGTTTTGTTTTTCATTATGAAAATGTTTAAATGTACAGAAAAATATAAAGAGTAGTAGAATAAACACCTGTATACTTAGCATTTAAATTCAAATACTAGCCAATTGTTAATAGTTAATTCTTCATTTTTTTTTTTTTGCGGAGTCATTTCAAAGTAAATAACAGACATCGTGACACATCACACCTAAACATTTCAGCTTGCGTTGCCCAAAAATAACATTTTCCTTCATAACCACAGTATTGTTATCATCCCTAACAAAACGAACAGTAATTCCCTAATTTTATCCAATACCCAGGCCATATCCACATTTTCACAGTTATCCCCAAAATGTCCCTTTTCAAACCAGGATTCAACTAAGATCTGATTACTTACTGTATTTGGTCATGTCTTGTAAGGCTCTTAATAACAGTCCTCCCCACTTCTTTTGTTTAACACGTTTATTTTTTAATTGTGTTAAAATACACATAACAAAATTTATCATCTTAACCATCGTTAAGAGGACAGTTCAGTGACATGAAGCACATTCACATTGTGCAATCATCACCACCATCCATCTCCAGAACTTGTTTCATCTTGCAAAACTGAAACTCTGTCCCCATTAAACAATAACTTCCCATTCTCCTCTCCCCTGACCCCAGCAGCTGGCAACCACCTTTCTCCTTTCTGTCTCTATAATTCTAGGGACCTCATATTTATAGTACATGCCCTTTTGTGACTGGCTTATTTCACTTAGCATAATGTATACTTTTTTTTTCCCCCCTCAATGACACTGAGTTTTGGAATAGGAAGACTGGCTATTTGTCCTTATACAATATTCCATATTCTCAATTTATCTGTTTCCATTTGATGTCATTTGATTTTTCCTTTTTTAAACGTTGCTCCTATAAATTAGAAGTTTGATCTAAGGGCTTGATTAGATTGAAGTTAAACACTTTTTTTGGCAAGACTACGTCATGAGCAGTAATAGGTGATAAGATAAGTTTTAACTTTTAAAATGGCATTGTCTTCTATGAGGCCCAGATTAGGAATAGCTTCAGCTTCTTCATCCTGATTTCCATAGACTGGAAAATTCATCTTTTTGCCTTTTATGTTGGCCTAGAACAGCTCCATGTAGCTTAGCCATGATTATTTTGTAAGCCTGCTGTATGTTGGGTACTCCAAATTGAGATATAATTCCTCCTCTGGGGGAGCTAATAGTCTCTTGGGGCAAGGGTTTGCTAATAGGTCAAGAGAGATTTTACCTTTTGCCTTAATAAACTTCCATTTCTTTTCTGTTTTGCTTCAGCTGCTGCACAGGTTCTGGGACCTCTGGCAGACTCGGATTGAGCAGAGAGAAGAGAGAGCGCAGCTCCCCTCACTGTGTGCTGCCTGGGACCGCTGCAGGTGGGGACTTTGGCCTTCTCCTTCGGCTTTCCGGGGACTGACTTACTGTTCTCCAGGAGAGAGCATTTACCCTTCCATGCATTCCTCGGTAGATTCAGAAAGGCCCTGCTGTAAACCACTGGTTCCCAAGTTTGCATTTTCCTTTTGGCTGATCAGATGAGAGGTAGGATAAAGATGTTTGTACTGGTTCTTGGTCACCATAGTTTGGAGTATGTGCCTGCTAGCTCCTTGCCTCAATCCTTCAGGCTTTAGTGACAGTCACATCTTAGAATTCAAGCACTGATAGTGTTAAAAAGCAGGCTCAGGCAAGTGGGTATTTGTGGCTTAGTCTTGAAGAGTGCAGGGTGTCCCTAATTTTAAATAAAAGCACCACATGTCCATGAGGAAAACTCAGTGTTTAGGAAGGTAGGTATAAAGTGAAAAATAAAAGTTGCCTGGATCCCTCCCTCCAATCCCTTAGTCTTACTCTTCAGAGGTAACCACTCTTCACTTACTTGCTGCCAGAAATGTTCAATATACCCTCCCCCCAGCCAATAGTACAATCAACTTAATTCACATAGTTAGAGGTCCCATTTTGGAGCATTTTTCTTTTTTTAGTGAGTCGCTGAGAATCTCAATATTTAACTAAATTTGGAGTTATCAGGGTCTATCATTATTCTAAATCCTGGTTTACAGAACTGAATGTAGTTCTCACTCTGGGTATCACAGTTGTGGAAAGAGCTTGTCACAGACCCAGGTGGTCCTCCACAAGTCCCAGAGTTTGGTCATAAAACCAGGAAGTTCATGATAGGGGATTTCATACATATTACCTAAGTTCCAGAGACACTGTGCTTGGTGGTCTAATTAGGTTTATAAGAAAATTGTCAAAATTTGGGGGCAAGCCATAGCCCCAAATTAGGGGCTAACAGATTTTGTGTTGAATAATAGGTTTTTTTCCCTGTTTCCTAGAGTGAAACTGATAGGGTGCCTTTAACGCTGAAGATGTAACTACACCCAGATTTTCTGGCCTTAAAAACAAACATTTTTAAAACCCCAAACCTGAAAGTGCAATAGGCAGTATGTGTTATGTTATGTGTTCTATTTCAGAATATCATTGCTACGCAAGTGTATCAGATCGTGGTTACAGTATACTCAGAAGAGGCGATACAAGCAGGTATGGAGTAGTTCATTGCAAGTAACTCCACAGGCTTACATTCTTGGACCCATTTGCTTTGGAAAGATTCTTGGAAAAGACCTTTGCTAAGAGGTCTTGGTGCTGCTGTGAAAAGCTCAAAGGTATTTCCCCCCGGTCCCTCTAGTGATAGTGGAAAGTCTGCGTAAACCCCATTCCTTCATGTGCTGTGAAAACACAGGCACTCTCTGAGAGTGATGATCTCTTACTAGCCATTCCATTCACATCATTACTCATTTACTCTATTAGTTAGCCAAGCTGCAGGAAATACTGGGAAAAGTACAGAACATAAGTGCCGTGTTCTCAGTGCTGAACAGTGTGAGACAGGTACCCATGGCAGGCGGGAGGACATGGGGAGCAAGCTGGCGAATTAGTAAAGGCAGATTGAGAAAGAATTCAGTTCCATTTTTTTTTAAGCTTTATTTATTTAAGTAATCTCTACACCTGATATGGGGCTCCAACTCAAGACTCTGAGATCAAGAGTCGCATGCTCTTCTGACTGAGCCAGCCGGGACTCCTAGCTTCAGTTCCATTTGACTCACTGAGGGACACGTGGGTGGCTCAGTTGGCTAAGCATCTGCCTTCGGCTCAGGTCATGATCCCAGAGTCCGGGGATCTAGCCCTGCATTGGGCTCCCTGCTACACGGGGAGTTTGCTTCTGCCTCTGCCTGCAACTCCCCCTGCTCATGCTCTTCTCTCTCTGATAAATAAATGAAATCTTAAAGAAAAAAGAAAAAGACTCACTGAGCACCCGCTGTGCCTGATAGAAAGCAGACAAAATTCCTGCTCCCATAGGCCTTGTAATTTAGCACCAGGATGGCAAGTAAGTGTGATCTTGCAGGCCAGCTCGAATGATGGCTGCAACTGTCTAGAGTGCTGAACCAAGAAGGGTTTGGAGGCCACGTTTAGGCTTGGGGGAGTTTGTGTTCAACCAGGAGTGTCTGCGTGGGCCTTGCAGGGGTTAGTGTGCTGTCCAGGCCTCATTTTGGCCATCCCTGGTGAAATGGGGTTGGGGGGCGGGACACAAAGCAAACTGCTGCCCCCTCCACCCCCTCCTCCATCTGCCTCTAGAGTCTCACACGGGAATCTAAAGAATTTGGCTGTTTCCTCACAGTGCTGGGAGAGAATCTGAATTTTCTAGCAAGGTGTACCAACCCCTGTGGGAGCCGGGCTCTGGTTACTTCTCCAGCCTTTCCTGTCACCAGCCCTTTCGTTCCTTCCCAGCTGTGCTCTGGCCAGTTAAGCTGCTGGTCCTTCTCTGAATGTGCTTCTCACATGCAGTTCTCTGTCCCTCCGACTCTTTCAGCTCCAGTGTCACCTCTTCCCCCAGCCCCCTGTGACTTTGTCAGTGTATTCTGTGCCTAGGTGTTTCCCAGCCCCTCTCCCTGCCAGACTGTGAGCTACTTGAGGGCAGACCCTGTCTCTTTCTTCTCCTTAGCACAGTGTGGACAAAGGGTAGCTGCCAACTAATATTTAGATGAATGAATGAACAAGCGAGTGAACAGACAGACGAACCGCCATGGGTTGCTACAGAGTTTTTCCTAAAGATCATCTCAGTTCTTGGCATTTCGGTGGTGCCAGCCCCGGGCATGGCTTGCCTTCCACACCTAGAAAATGCTTAGAATTGCTGCATTCTTTGACATTCCTTTGGATGATATGGCTATTTCTGAAAGGACGTTGCCACTTGGTTTCTTAAGCCCATTTAATGTAAGCTCAACAGAAGGCAGAGACCTTTTAGAAAAAGAAACTGAGTGCCAGGGTCGAAAGGTTGTATTTACTCAAGGTGGAAAAGAAGCAGAGAGTCTCTCATATTCCCCCTGGAAAAAGAGCCTCTTGACACTGGGACCCAACAGTAGTGGAAGGTCAAGGGTCAGTATTCTTATCTCTCCACACTGCTCTTGCATGGCCTGCGTAATATAGAAGGTCTGAAAAATAGTAGGAGCCCTGCTTAGTTGCTGTTGCTTTTTTTCGAATCTTTGGCTAACAATCTGAATGTCATCTAAGGAGATGACATCAGAGAACATCAAGTTCTTTAAAGAGAACATCAGTTCTTTCTATTTCAGGAAAAGATAAAAATATTTATTGTGGGTTTCTTTCTTTTTAAAAAGTAATACAGAAAGAGGGGCGCCTGGGCAGCTCAGTCGGTTAAGCGGCTGCCTTCGGCTCAGGTCATGATCCTGGGGTCCTGGGATCGAGCCCCATGTCTGGCTCCCTGCTCAGCGGGGAGCCTGCTTCTCCCTCTCCCTCTGCCTGCCACTCTGCCTACTTGTGCTCTCTCTCTAGCTGTCGAATAAATAAAATCTTTAAAAAAAAAAAAGTAATACGGAAAGAATGGCAAAATGTTAGCCAATTGTTGAAGCTGGATGGTAAGTTCATGGAGTTTCGTTATACTGTTGCTTCTACTTTTATTTACATTTGAAAATGTAAATGCCCAAAACCAATATATAGACATTATAATTTGAGAAGTGTAGGAAGAGATAAAAGAAAAAAATTAAAACACCCGTAATCTTAAAATAACATTTGGTAAGTAAATTTGGTATCTCTTTTCCTCCATGTGCGTGGGAGTATGTATACCATATATTCACACACACACATATGCTTACTGTTCAGTTATCTGTTGCTATGTGAAAAATCACCCCAAACTCAGTGGCTTAAAACAACAACCGTGTTATTATACCTATGGGTTCTGTAAGTCAGAAATTGAAACAAGACATAGCAAAGATGGCTGGTCTCTGCTCCATGATTACTAGGGCCTCAGCTGGGAAGATTCCAATGGCAGGGGATTAGGATCCTCTAGGAAGTTTCTTCCCTCACATTGCTGGTTCCTGGACTGGAATAACTCGAAGGCTGGGCGCATCTGGGACTGTTAACCAGAGAACCTACACTGGGCCTCTCCAAGAGGCTTGGATTGCCTCACAGCATGGTGGCCTGAGGGTAGTCAGACTTCCTGTGTTGCTGCTCACTCCAAAAGTGCCCCAGTGAACAACACACAAACTGTATGGCCCTTTATGACCCAGCCTCAGAAGTCACATGGCCATTTCACCATTCTCTATTGGGCAAAGCAGTCACTGTCCCGCCCAGATTCGACAGGGGCGGGGGGGGGGGGGACTTCTCAGAGAAGGAGGAAATCCAAAGAATTTGAGGTCCTGTTTTAAAAAGTGCCGCAAATACATATATCCTTCTGTCCCCCCAGAGTTTTGGATCATGGAAGCATACACACACACACACACACACACACACACACACACACACACACACACACACACATATATATATATATTTTTTTTATGTCAGTTGTCTTATCTTCCTGGTGATAAACAGTAAAATAGTAGTAGCTTTTCATAATTACATAATAATTTAAAGAATCTGTATTACAAATAAACATCATAGATAAAATCAAAAGATATATTACAGGGTGGGAACAATGTTGATAATACACGTGACAAAGGACTGATAAATTTCTGAAGGTTCAAAAAGCCCATGTACATCACTGAGTTAAACACTGGCAGTCAGATAGTACAATAGGGATTGGGTATGAACAGTTAGTACATAGGACAGAGCATTTAGATACATACATGTATATATGTGTGTGTATGTACACACAAGTATGTGAAGAGATACTTAACCTAGAGTAAAAATTTCTTACCCATCGTATTTCATTTTTCACCTATCATGGCGACAAAGATTAAAAATAATGATTTTAATCTTTTTCTCAATTTTGTGTAGAAAGCAACCCTCCCTCTAGAGTGCAACCCTTAAAGGTCATTTTTTTAAATATAATATAAAGTACAAATAAAGGTCATTCTTTGTTATACTGCAGCGGCTGCGGTCCAGAGCAGACAGTCACTTTGAGCAGAGAGTCCTGCCTGCAGCCTTCCACACATGGAGAAGATTCTGGCGTTGGCAGCAGCAGGAAAGTGTCCTCAATGCGAGAGCAGCACGCTTTCACAGGTATGCAGTGTCGCTTCTGTCTGGGCAGGCTTCTCGGGACTTGTTCTGCTGCCCACACGGCCATTGGTGGTGTTTTTCAGCCTCCCAGCCCCCTAGGCCCTGGTTCTTCTTGGTTTTCCAATTAGGTGGGCTCATTGATTTCATCTAGCAGGAAGAGCCAGCCAGTATTTCTCCTGGGAAAGCTTTTGCTCATCTTTATTGCAAGTGCTTTCAGAACAGCCTGAGTTTTATTATGCCCCTGTCCTCATTGCAAGCCAGTGTGAGCTCCAGTAAATCTGTCCATTAGCTTTCTGGATCAGAGTGTGGTTGGACCTTGCATCGCCTTGGCAGGCATTCTTGAGTGTGATTGCCCTGAAATGCTTGCTTCCTGTTCTGCCAGACCTGGCTTTTTGAAGTCTTGAAATATAGTCATCAACAAAATTAAGACGGGCACAGAGCAGAGCTATGTCTTTTTGCTCCCGCAGAGGCAAACTTGCCCAGAGCAGGTCCTTGCTGCATTTTGGCGGAATTGTAACAAAGAAATTATTAATCACTGACTGTGTGTCTGCCACTGTGGTGGGCATGGTGTGGTGGGAAAAGGGAAACAAATATATAAGCTCATTCGCCTGTGATGTGATCAACTTCGTTAATAATTCCCTTCTCATAGCAGTCCTGAGAGAACAGGCTCAAGATGAATAATGACTCCCCCATGTAAATCAACCAGTAAGTGGCAGAGCCAGGGTTTAAATTCAGATCTCCTTGACTCCAGGGACTTTCTGCTAGATCAAAAGGAAGATCTTTTTGATGACTTTGTAGAAACTTTCAGTCTTTGTGAGGAGGTAAGACTGATACACAAGAAACAATTGAAGGACAGTTCCAGAGAATAGATCCACATGTCCTCATTTTTGTCAGCCCGGAGTTCTTCTAGAGCTCAGAGCTAGTGCTGAGGGAAGTCCCTGAAGGAAGGCATGCTGTGAGCCAGGGGGTGAGGATGAATGGCAGGAGTGGGCAGGATGAGGAGGGCCAGACTGAGGGGATTGCCCAAGCCCATAAAAAGATAACAGTTAGATGTTTGAGCAGGTGCATGTAACTAGTAAAGTGATGGTTTTGGAGATTGCCCTGAGAACAGTGTCCCATCAATTTAGGACAAAGAGGCGAGAGGGAGGGACATGGGAGGGACACTGGGAGAAGCTGCAGTGATCTTAACTTTGAAGGAGTGTGAATGCTAGCCTGAGGGGATCAGCCAGAACTCCTGGAGTCCTTCACACAAAGTCAAAGAGAAGCTTTTAGGGGGTAGCCATGGGAAATTGGAGGCTGGCAAGGGTCTGCAGAGAGTGACTTCACCTTTACCTACTTCCTGAACTGAGGTCTGGTAGATTCCACTTGAAAAATGGCTTTACTACCAAACACAAACACACTCCTTCGCTTCTTCTACAAAGTCAATGATTGATTCTGTTGCTTCTTTCGTATTTTGGCATGCCGTAGGGATTTTCAAAAATTGAGGGTTCTTTCAAAATAGCCAAGAGGAGTTTCCAAAAGGATTTTTGTTGGGAATCATTCTTGAGACAAAAGGGTGGTGGGTGAACTGGAGACGGGGAGTAGCCGCGAGGCCTGATCTGGATTTTATCTTGTTTTGGTTTAGTTGGATCTTTTTAGAAAACTTAAGTTTTTAAGGTTCCTGCCTTTAGCTCATGAGGGAGCAGAGTGATGGGGAGCCCAGCTTGGAAGCTGGAGAGACCTGAGTTCAGACCCTTGCTCTACTGCTTGCCAGTTTCGTAACCCTGCGCAAGCCACTCTGTCTCTCTGATCCTGTTTCCTCAAATGTAAAATGGAGATGAGTTGATAATAGTCCTATCTCACAGGGTTGTCATGAAAAGTGAAATAATCCATGGGGAATACAAGCAGAAAGGCAGCACAAAATATCAGCCTTTCCCCCAACCCCTAGAATTGATTTGTGACTCTCCTGGTAAATGAATATTCATAGGTTTGGTTTGGAGTTTAGCAAATCAAAGTTCCCCCAAAATATGTATGTTCTATCTTTCCATAACTCTTAGGGTATTTATTTAATATTTTAGGAATATGGACAGAATTTATAGTGGGATCTCATGAATTATGACTGAAAATGGTAGTTTCTTAATCTACCAGTGAAATAGTATTCTGAGAATGAGCCAAGACTGATTTGTCTTTTTTTTAATTGAGCTAAAATTCATAGTGAAAGGCACAGATGTTAAATAAACAGTTTGATGAGTTTTCACAAATTTATGCCTGGATAATCAACAGCCCAGTCAAGGTCTAGAACATTTCCATCACCCCAGAAAGTTCCCTCATGCCCCCTTCCAGTCAATTCCCACCCCCCCCTCACAGGTAACCACTGCTCTGATTTCTGTCCTACCAGATTAATTTTGCATGTTTTCGAACTTTAAATAATGGGATCATTCAATAAGTGTTCTGTTGTGTCTGGTTTCTTTTAAAGTTCAGCATAATGTTTCTGAGATTGAGCCATGTTGTCAGGTAGTAGTTCAGTCTTTGCTGAGTGGTATTGTATGACTATAAGGCAATGTTTTGATCCATTTTAACGTATGAGTTGTTTCCAGTTTGAGGCCATTATGAATAAATCTGCTATGAACATATACATGGATTGTTTTCATTTCTCTTGAGTAGATACCTAGAAGCTAACTCTGGCTCACAGGATGGGGACAGGCTTCCTCTTATAGGGGGTCACATCATTATACACCCACCAGCAGATAGAATGCTGGTTGTTCCACAGCCTCATCAACATTTGGTTTTGACAGTCTTTCTAATTGAGCCATCCTGGTGGATGGGGAGTGACGTCTCATTTCCCTGCTGACTCATAATGCAGAGCATCTTTTTAAGACCTAATCAGCCAGGATCAAAATCCTGTAGTTTTACCGAGTCAGATCGATTGCCTTGAAGGAGGGAATTCCACAGGAATTCTGGAATGGTGCCCTTCCTGAGGGAAAGGAATTTGTAAAGTTTGGGTTCCCACAAAAGGATTCAGAAGAGGGAAAAGAGAAACAGGGATTGGTTTTGGATTGCTCTGTTTCCGAGGCAAAATTAGGAGGGAAGAGAAGTGGGGTTCACTAGGGAGTACTGTTATGTGTACCCTCAGGAATAAGTGAAAGCGGCAAAGCTTTTCTGGGGTGTCATTGGTAAGGAAGCAATAACCACTCAAAAGAGGCCCTGGTGGCATTTTACAACTGCTGCCTGGCCTCGGGAAAAACCATGTTTCCTTGTAGCTGGCTTTATCTGTGTCTGTGGCTCAGTAAGCGTCTGACTTTTGGTTTTGGCTCAGGTCATCATCTCAGGGTCCCAAGATCAAGTCCAGTGTCAGGCACCACGCTCAGCAGGGAGCCTGCTTGAGATCCTCTCTCCCTCCCCATTTCCCCTCCCCATGCTCACGTGCTCTCTTTGTGTCACTCTCTCAGATAAATCTTTAAAAAAAAGAAAAAGAAAAATATTTTCTTCCAGTAATGTGGCTTGCATTTCCATTTTCTCACGTTTTTTTTTTAATTGAGAACAAAGTTGTTTTTTACATATGTATGTTATATGTATGTTGAAATTATCACAGGGTGGGGATCTATATATGGGCTATATATATATTGAAATGAATTAATAGTATTTTTTGATGAGCAGAAATGTTTAATTTTGTTATAGTCAAATTCACCAAATTTTTCCTCTTATGATTAGTGATTTTGGGGTTTTCTCTAAAAAATATTTGCTTACACCCAAGATCTTGAAAGATACTTTCCAACATTTTCTCTGGAAGCTTTATATAAAGTTTTAGCATTTACATTTAGGTCTGTGATCATCTTGAATTTTGGTTTGAGGTAAGAGCTAAGGATTATTTTTTTGTTTTGTTTTTCAGGTTTTTCCAGCAGTATTTATTGAAAAGACTTTTCATTCCCCCATTGAATTGCCTTGGCACCTTTGTTGAAAATCAGTTGTCCTTATAAGTTTGTATCTATTTTTGGACTTTCTCTTCTGTTTCATTTATCTGTTTCTTTTTTTTTTTTTAAGATTTTATTTATTTATTTGAGAGAGAGAGAATGAGAGAGAGCATGAGAGGGAAGAGGGTCAGAGGGAGAAGCAGACTCCCTGCTAAGTGGGGAGCCCGATGTGGGACTCGATCCTGGGACTCCAGGATCATGACCTGAGCCGAAGGCAGTCGCCCAGCCAACTGAGCCACCCAGGCACCCTCATTTATCTGTTTCTTTATCCTTATGCCATTATCATACTGTCCTGATTTTTGTATCTTTATAGCAAGTTTTGAAATCGGTTCTTCAACTTTATTCCTCCTGGGATTTTTTTTTTGTTTGGGATTGCACTTAATCTGTATAGATGTTTAGGGGAGAATGGACATCTCAAGCTTATTGAGATGTCCCATAAATGAACATGAACTTCTCCATTTATTTAGCTTTTCTTTAATTTTTCTCAGTGTTTTGTAGCTTTGCATAGAAGTCTTGTGTATATATTTTTAAATTTATTCCTAAATACCTTATTTTTTGGATGCTATTGTGAATAGAATTATTTTTTAAATTCATTTTCCAACTGTTTGTCCTAGTATATAGAAATACAACTGAAACTTTGTGTTCTGTAACCTTTCTAAATTTACTTAATGGTTTGAGTCTCTCTTTTTTTTAATTATGTAGAGTTTTCTGCATAAATAATCCTGTCATATGCAAGTAAGGACAACTTACTTTATCCTTTCCAGTCTGTATGCTTTTATTTTTGTCTTTACTGCATTAGCTAGCATCTCCAATAAAGTATTGAATAGAGGATGGGGCACCTGGGTGGCTCAGTCGTTTAAGCGTCTGCCTTCGGCTCAGGTCATGATCCCAGGGTCCTGGGATCGAGCCCCGCATTGGGCTCCCTGCTCTGTGGGAAGCCTGCTTCTCCCTCTCCCCACTCCCCCTGCTTGTGTTCCCTCTCTCGCTGTGTCTCTCTCTGTCAAATAAATAAATAAAATCTTAAAAAAAAAAAATTGAATAAAGGTAATGAGA